CATATATATTTTAATACATTTCGATACTAATAATATTCATGTACTCACTATTGACTAGCTTCAAGACGAAATCTCTGCAGTTCTAGTGAGAAGCAGTGACCGGTGGAGTTCAAGCCCTATCGGGTGTAAGACAGTTATCCAACTGAGATAAATAAATGTTCCATTTAATTTAATTTATTATTTACTTAAATCATTGACAATATTTAAAAACACTGAAATCATTAAAAAATGTTGAGAATAAAAATTATTCAATTGACCAGTTATAATCAACGCTAGGACGATCTGATATAAATGTGTAACAGTTTAAATGAATACTGAACTAGTATAATGTATTAACTAATACATTTACGGATTCTTTTAAGAAGTTGTAATTTTAATAGTTGAATTCATGAGTCAATCTAAGCTAGACCAGCATCGAAAACCCGGAAACATTGAACGGCCGTTTCGTCCTAGTACGAGACTCCTTAGCAGTGAGTATCCACGATCCCGCATGTGGCATTTGAACGCGGAACGTTCGGTCACATGCGTAAATGTCCATCCTGTAGACCACTGAGCTGGGATTAAGTGGTGTAATGTCTAACTTTGATCAATACATGATCTTGCACAACCCTTCATGCATTATCGGAGGTGTATAACTCTCTCCACTCGACACGGATTGAACTCCACTAGTTACCGCTTTATATATAATATATTCTATGTTATATTTTTATTGCATATGTTCGGATTTGATTTTTTTTCCGTTGTTAATGTTAAGAGTTACAACTACTTAGTCCCTTTTTGGCGTATGTACATACTGAGAGAACTGCCTCAACATTGCCATTACGTCACAATCATTCTTAAGCAAAGTTTGTTAGTAGTTATCAGTGGAATTCACAACTAATTCAGGACATTAACACTAGAATACAGGCACATCCAGCTGATGAGTCCCAAATGTGAAGAAACACACGCAATAGATACTACTTCAGGCTGCCATTGAACTTCACTTAAAAATTTACATTTTCTTATTAAAAAAATGTCAAAACAAAACCATCAAGGATTCTTCATCGTACAAATCGACTAGGTGATTATGTGCTGTACAATTTTAATCAAATTTCAAACTACGGTACATTTATCTATCGGTGATGTCTCGAAAGTCAAATTTACTGAATCATCAAACGGGGAACTTTGTGTTTAGTTTAAGCTTTTAAAAAGTTAAAAACAGATTATAAATCAATGTATATTGGTTACTATGGTGATTAATCTTCAATTTTACATTTTACTTTTTAAACAATTGAGTATATTGTAGAAAAACAACAAGACACTTATCGAGGAAGTAAATAGTAATCATAATAGTAATGACTGAAGTGGGTAATTGAAAATGATTGTGTTTTTTTTCTAATTTAAATTGTCTAAATAATAATAATAAGTAGGCTTTAACCTTATGGTAAGAGAAAGTTTACTATTATGCTGAAAAGCTACTTCATATGGATGTACACTGATAAAAATGAGAAAAAAAAAACAGCCAATTATGGAGTATGGAGATTAATTACCTGACCAAATGTAAATTCTATGAAATTTCTTCATTGACAAGCATCAATGTGAATGTAAACGTGAAGTGTTATTTCATTCATGCTCAACTCGTCTCAGTGTAACATCAATAATGAGATCAGTTGATTGCATCAAACACTTTTCAATCCTATCTAAAGTTATAATAATATAGTCAATAGGTACTATTTGCTATCTGTTGAATTAATCTAGTTAGGATAAAAAGTGATTACTTAATTGGGATATTTTGAAAAAAAAATCTTACTATACTACGAATTCATTGTGGTGTATGCTACTTATGCTGACAGATATAAGTAGTATGTAGCACCGACCAGAAATCAAATGCCTGTGAGCTGAAGAATGAAATGAAGGAAAGAGAGAAGAGAACCTGAAGCAATCAAAACAACAATAGGAATGAAGGGACAATAAAGTTTGAAAGAGAGACAAATGATAAGTGATGTGTAGTCTTCATACCTTACAAAAAACACTCTGTAATTTTGCATTAAACAATGAATTGGTTATCCTTACCAAGTCTTCATTCATAAACACCAGAAATTAGATTTCATTTGACTAGTGTAATAGAACAACGTTTGAATTTACCTTCGAAAAAAAAGAAAAAGAAAATTAAAGTTTCAATCTTAGACAACACCACAAATGTACCCATCTGAAGAGTTAAAATAAAATAGCTATATCAGTATAGGGTTGTGTAGATTATTAGGTTTTTGACTGAGATTATGAATTGATTAGTGTTAGGATACCATTGGAAACCTGGAAGTACTGGAAATACCGTTTCGACCTATTGTGGGACTCCTCGTGGATTGATTGAATTTAGACATCATTGAATGTCGGCCAGCTCAGTGGTCTAGAGTTTAAGCGTTTGTGCGCGAAACTAAAAACCCTGGATTCAAACCATGCTGGCAGGATAATGGATGCGCACTGTTGAGAAGTCTCACAATAGGTTAAAACGGCCGTCCAGTGCTTCCAGGTTTCCAATGGTACTATTTATAAATACTTGTACTCTTGATGGTGGTTGCTGTAGTTCTCCAAGTTTCAGCTCCATACAGTAGAACTGCCTTGACGTTCGTATTGAAGATTCTCACTTTGATATTGGTTGAAAATTGTTTTGAGTTCCATATGTTCTTCAATTGTAAGAATGCGACCCTTGCTTTGCCAATCCTTGCCTTTACGTCTGCATCTGAACCTCCTTGTTCATCGATGATACTTCCCAGGTATGTGAAGGATTCTACATCTTCCAGAGTTTCTCCATCAAAAGTGATTGAACTGCTGTTCTCTGTGTTGTATTTGAGGACCTTAGTTTTCCCCTTGTGTATGTTGAGGTCTACTGATGGTGGTCTGACATTAGTCGGTTCATGATTTCAGTCAAAAAATAGTGATATCCTATTTTGCCTTGTTTTCATTGATTCTACATTTGATTTAAAGTATTTACAAGAGAATGATATTTCTATTTTTAATAAGTTTACAAAATCGTCTTTGATAAATAATAATTGATTATCGATTTTTTATTATGATTAATTTTCAGCACGAAACCAGTCTGCATTCTTCTTCTTCTTCTTCTTCTTCTTCTTCTTCGTTTTTATTTTCTCCTACAATTCTCGTTATCTTGTGTGTTTTTTTTTCATTCCTTCAGATATAATGTACGTTCTATGTTTCAATTTTTTTTTATATCCCAATCTAATTTCATGAACACATACACATTTATATAGAGATATGTTTGTAGACAAACTAATAGAACTATGTACTATTCCATCTATTATTCACCTCTTAGTTTTGTTCCTTCTCTCTCTCTCGCGCGCGCTTTTCCCTTCTCTCTCTCTCTTTTCCCTTCCTCTCTCGCTTTTCCCTTCTCTCTCTCGCTTTTCCCTTCTCTCTCTCTCTCTCTTCCAATCTGTTTTAATTTTTTTTACCTGAAGAAATCTTAAACTTTCTATTGATATTATTGTGAAATGGTAATAATAATGATAATGATGGACAGTTTATATATCAATGGGATAAAACTAGAATTACTCCTATTTAATAATGAGGAGTTATAATGTTTTTTTCGTTTGAATACACAGATTGTGTGATTGTACAAAAGAAAAAAAAAAGAAACACATTGGAAAGTCTAAATCTTTCTTCTGTGAAGGACATTTTCTTTTTCTTTTTTTTAATACATCCATATGTATGTATGTAATAATAGATTGAAAAATGAAGAATATGTAAAGTGGACTTACTTTTCTTGTATCTTAGTGACCAATTCACATAACTTGTAATGTAAATCTATTGATAGCCTATAGTGTTGACAAACTATATTGAGTAAATATGAAATGATATTAGATGGTGGTTGAAGATAGTCGACAGGAAATCCTGAACCCGGGTTTCGTGCTACTTGGCACTCGTCAGCAAGGTGTACCTGTAATCTTTGAGAGAACTGGTGCTCTCTGGCGGACTCGATCCCGTGTCGCCCAGCTTCACAGTCAGAGATGTTACCACTGAGCTATCCGAGCCACAATTGACCTCCTGTAAGACTGAGATGTAATCACAATTGATTGATCACTGGGTGGATAGCTATTGAGTTATGATATTTATTAACTTGCATACTACCTTATTCTAGTTAGCGTTTTTTTAAGCAAGGTTGTTTTTTTTACAGAATAGGCTTGGAACAGGTAGTAACTCTAGAAGAACTATAGATCAAGTTAATTTGTTTACTGGTATTAATTTAACTTTTATTTGTCATCGATTCAAACCCATACGTCGTTACTACCTTCACTTGGTGGTCGGGTTTGCCTATCGTGGTGAACCAGTCGAGTTATATTGGCTGGAACAAGTGTTCCTCAAGGTCCTACCATGCCAGACAGGTCGGTTGAAGAGTGATATGATTAAAAGCAGCAAACCCAAGGTTCGAGGGCGAAGTCATACTGCTGACTGTATAGAGGTGTGACGTCAGTAAGATGTTTCTTTCAGACAACCAACATAACAGCGATGCTGTCTTTCCACAAGGAGGGGTGGGGTTAGAAAAGGTCAACATTAAAAAATTACACCTCGCCTTATCCCACAGACATCCGTCTTCGACGATAAGGTCTCAACAAGTACGGAGCTAACATGAAAATTACTCACAAAAAGTTATATGTGACCGGCCTCAGACAGTTGTACCTTGGGCACTGCGGTTACTTTCTTAGGTCACTAAAACCACCCCTAAACCAATCTCTCTTTCAGGTACCTTCAGAAGAACCCTTCCATATTGAGGGGCAACCAAGAATTGTTAACTGCTCTTATACCTCTAACAGCACTCAAGATCGATATAAACAATTGATTTTTAATTTGTCATTTAAAGTAATAATCAATAAATAATCCTTTTTTTTCTATTTTCATTTCAGCTTATCTTTTTACATTTTCTTAATCTTATCAATTCTCATATTTATTTAATAATTATGAATTTATTAAAATATACAATAAAAAGGAAACATTATAAAGTCACTATGAAATCATTACATAATATAAAACTAATTATTAGTTTATTATTATACTTTTATTCAATTAATTCACCTAAATGTTATGCTTATTATAATATGAATACAAAACATAATCCATTATCATCTGAAACAATAACAAAGAAGAATACATTGAAACAATATGATTCTACATTGAATAATTTTCATGATGAATATTCAGATGATACAAAACATGATCCATTAATAGATAATCATTTCATGATGTCTTCTTTGAATGATGTATTATCATCTTCATCACCATTATTATCTTCTTCGTTATTACCGTCATTATCATCATCATCATCATCTTCTTCTTCTGCATCTGCATCTTCATCATCATCATCATCTCATAGTGAAATAGAAACACATCGTTGTGAACCAGTCACATTAATATTATGTAAAGGAATGTATTATGAATATACAAGATTACCTAATATGTTTCATCATGAAACACAAGAAGAAGCTGGTTTAGAAGTATGTTTCTTCTAATAGTTTCATATGTTTACTTTAATAATATATTGTTTATAAACGATTGAATTATGTCAAACAAGCTTAGATTGTAAACAATTAGTTAAGCTATCAAAAAATTAGTAGTGGATTTTGTTTGATGTTAACTGTGATTTATCTTACAATATCACTCAGTGTGTCAGTGGTTTTAACTAAATAATTTACATCGAATTATAAGAGGAACACTATAAGAAAATACATGATTGAAATTCATTCTCTTATATTTTATAATTTCAAATGATTCGTTTAAAGAAATTGTGCACCGCTGAAGAGTCTCATACTAGGACGAAACGGTCATTTATTGATTCCAGGTTTTCTATTGTAGTTTAGCTTTAATTGACTCATGAATGCATATTTACAGTAAAATCGACTGCTACATACAACTTTAGATATGACTGACTTTATTGAACATGATAAGTTAGATGAAAGAGTTTTATATTCATTCTGAACATTATCAATAACGCTACTTCACTGCGATTATTTATTTAGGCAAGAACTTACTTACTTACGGCTATTTCTCCTAATGGAGCATAGGCCGCTGACCAGCATTCTCCAACCTACTCTGTTTTGGGCCTTCCTTTTTAATTCCATCCAATTCTTGTTCATTTTTCTCATGTCTATCTCCATTTCCCGGCGTAATGTGTTCTTTGGTCTTCCTCTTTTCCTTTGGCCTTGAGGATTCTATGTGAGGGCTTGTCTTGTGACGCAGTTGGGTGCTTTCCTCAATGTGTGTCCTATCCACTTCCAGCACTTCTTCCTGATTTCTTCCTCCACTGGGATCTGGTTTGTTCTCTCCCACAGTACATTGTTGCTAATAGTGTCTGGCCAACGGATCCGAAGTATTTTAAATAGACAACTGATAATAAACACCTGTATTTTCTGGATGATGGCTTTCGTAGTTCTCCAGGTTTCTGCCCCATACAGTAGAACTGTCTTGACATTTGTATTGAAAATCCTGACCTTGGTGTTGGTTGAGAGTTGTTTTGAGCTCCAGATGATTCTCAGTTGTAAATATACTGCTCTTGCTTTGCTGATCCGCGCCATCACATCTGTATCAGATCCACCCTGTTCATCAATGATGCTGTACAAATATGTAACGGTTTTTACATCTTCCAAATCTTCTCCGTCAATTGTGACTGGATTGGTGCATGCTGTGTTTTATCGGAGAATCTTGCTTTTCCCTTTGTGTATATTGATTTATGCTAGAAACCAAAGTATTACATAACTATCAAGTATGAATTGTCAGTTAAATGTAGCAATCATGAAAATATCAAAATCTAATCACTTTTATTATACTAACCTAAACGGATTAAATTTAAATAAACTTTAACTTGTATAACAATAAATCATGAGACTTATAAATCAAGCAGAAATTATCCTATTCTGTTTTAGGCTTCTTTTATTACCCTTAAATTTGTTGATCAATATAATGTTGTTGATGATTATCAGTTGTGGAATTTTCGTTTCTGGCATCATTTTGTGTAAAAAAGTGCTTAGTTGTTGCGTAATTCTTTTTCATTGATTAACACATCTCAGCATGGATACAAAAGGCTTGACAAGCTTTTGCCAGCTTGCGTCATTTATGGCGTTTTCTAGTTGTAGTCATGTTAACTTCTAGTCTTAGCCATGTTAGTAGATGCAGACTACTTGATTGAGTTCTGCATGACTATCGCAAAAATGGTTGGAGACTCTGGGCGACATGGATCAGAATCGATCACAATGGCGTCGGTGTATACACTCTTTTTCGTCCCTTAAACCGTGAGATTAAAATTATTTCATATCTTTCTTTCTACGAACTAATTCTTTCTTTTTGTATTATATCCTTACATAAGATCTTTCCTTTATACATTACACCATTGAGGTAACAGCTACTATCAGTCCGGTGTTCGTCTTGTTGTGCTAATGAGGTGTGGCAACTTGACCAATACATGTATGTGCCTTGTCATACTTTTTAAGTGACTGACTGGCATTTATGGCGTAGTTTACTAGTATTCGATCATAGGTGTCTTCGAAGCATTGCTCGTATATCCTGGAACCATAGAGTACGTAATGCAGTTGTTAGGAAACGGGTACTAGATAAGAATGGCAAATCGATTGAAGTAATCAAACTTCATCAGTTGAGATGGCTGTGAAATTTGTTACGTATGCTCAACCACCGACTTCTCCGACGAGCGATGTTTCATGGTGTAAGATGTGGTGGCCAGAACAAAATGTGGCACAAATCCATGAAGTCGCTGACAAGTGGACTGAACCATGTTGGTAGGTGTAGACTACTTAGTTGGGGTCCACGAGATGACAGCGACCGATGGTTAGAGACCTTGAATGACAAGGCTCAAAATCGTTTGCAATGGCTCAGTTGCATCCACTCTTGTGTTCTCCCCAAATTCTAATCTTCTGAATTCTTCATATCCCTTTAATTTTTCTCTTTCCAAATTTACTTCACTGGATTATACTCCTTGAATAACATTTTCAAACCCTAATCTCCCCGATTATTGCTTAAACTCTTACTACCTCTACCACTACGAAATTTGAAACGGCAACTTCATTTCTGTGCTGATGTGGTATGGCAACTCGAACTGGTATACATACGTATGAAGTTCTATGTTGTTACTGACTGACTGACTGACTGATTAACATTTTTCCACCTTATTGTTTTATTGAAATAATTTTTTATTCTTACATAATTTATTATTACCAGATTGGTATTCTGTAATGCGAAAAAACGGTTTTGGTAATTTCTATTACCATTTTTTATTCTCAAGTCATTTACGATAACTTTGAAGGTATCGATGAGATAGTTGTCTTTTAATGTAATCCTTATAATGATGAGTTTGTATTGATCAAGTGGTCATTATCTATATGGAAGCTTTTGATATATTTTTCTGATCAAAGTCTTCTCGCAGGATATGTTCATGTGTAGGGTTTGTCTCATAGCTTTTCAATATTAAACACAATGCAATCAAATCAATTGATTAAATGGTTTGAGTTAGACAGTACGTTTTCAAATAGAAATGTTTCTAAGCATATTTTTCACTATGTTTTCGACTTTTTTGGGCTTCAATCACTCACTTAGATATTTCATATTTTCTGAAGTATGGATTGATGCCTTAGTGGTTAATCCTTCAGAATTTCAAGTATAATGTTACAGGCTTGAAGCTTGTTGAAATCAACTTCAGGTAACTACTGAATAGTATCATTAGCCCTAACAATTAAACTATAACTTGAATCCAAGTGTATGAATCTATACCTGAAAAATAATTTAAAATATAAACATTTTTTGAATTAATTACTTGTACAAAATAAATTAACATTCGATTCTAAGTACCATACACTTCATACTAATATACTTCGTAACAGTATAGTTCAAAACTCTTAAACGTCAATGATAGGAAGTAGAACATAATGTTTCATTAAAATATCTATCTAGATAAGGCATATATTAAAAGGAAATCGGTGTTTATAATTATAGTCAGTAATAATGAAGAGAATAGAGAATACTGGTAGTCGGCCTATATTCCTTTATGATGGAGGTAATAGACGTAAGTAGTAAGTAGCTGTATAATCAAGATATAGTGTGGAGGCCCTTAATTTTGTGGTCATTTAGCTCGAACGATGTTGTCGAAAGAGCTCTCCACTTTAGTGGCTTGAGATCTGACTCCAAGGAGATCGTAATGAATGTTTGTTATCACCTATTCTCGTATATAATTATCGACTTAAATCACGTTAGTCAATAACGGAATTAAATAACTCAACGAGAATGGACTTTCGAATATATATATTTTGTATATAAAGCAAATGGAATAGAACAAAGCAAAACGACGTGCAGTGGAGATGGCGGATAAGCCAACTCTCCTTTAACCAAGCATTAATCAATACTTATAGTTACACAAAAGTAAGTTACAGACATGTGATGAGTAATGGGATAAGAAATGTACACACACACACATATGCGCTCATATAAAAACAGTCAAGAATTGATAAGCGAATAAATAACAAAGTCAGAATGTGACTCAAGTAGAATGAATAGACTGAGCTGTCCGATAGCTAGAATAAGGTATATAAGCTTAATATTAATAAACGACACTACAATAGTTCGTTATCAATAATTAAGGAGAAATAAAATCTTCCATATCAATTAAAAGTCTCTATGCATAGGTATCATTAAATTGTTTTCTATTATAAAATTATTTGTTTTTTTATTTTTATGATGTGAAATTATATTACTTAAATTAGACATAAAAAACATGGGAAAGTTTTGTTCTTTATATACGTAAATATGATGGTGATTATAATAAAATATATTTGCATATTATTATCATTGTTATCATTATCACTATTATTGTTATTAGGGGTAGTAGTAGTAGTAGTAGTAGTAGTAGTAGTAGTAGTAGTAGTAGTAGTAGTAGTAGTAGTAGTAGTAGTAGTAGTAGTAGTATAAGTAGTAGTAATAGTAGTATGGTTTAACAAACCATAAAAATAGGATAGATATTTCGAAATCTAAAGTGAATAGACCACACATGTATTTATTCATCAGTGCAGATATTTAATCTTAATAATTAGATAGAATAGATTGAGGATTGTTTGATAAATAGGTACATATATAACATTACTGATAGGGGTATATTTACATTGAATTGGTGAAACTATAGATTTATTATTTTGGTATTATTATTATTATCATTACTATTGTTATTATTGATACCCATACTGATAACAAGACAAATATTGGATTTTATCAGTAGTATAGTAAATAATATGTGTACTTGATAAGCATAGAATATATAGTTCAATGTTCTATGTCATTCTTCAAAGACAATACCATTTATTTATATTTTATTGACAACAAGATATACAGAAGAATATGATTACGTACATAGTTTTTGTTATAAATTTATACTGATAGCATATCATTTATTGTTACTAAGGATTTATTCATGATAAACTTTATATGGATACAGAAATGAAGT